ATGGAAACCCCAAACCCTGACCACCCAGACCTTTGAGAAACAGCTGGGCTAGGCCCAGGCCTTCTTGGAAGCCACAGACGCAGAAAACAGGAAGGATTTCAGTCAAAATCCATGATTAAGGAATGTGCAGAGGTGGCAGAGCTTGTCACCACCATCAGGCCAGAAACTATCAGATGGAATTCAGCCCAGATGCCTCTTCTCCCTTCTATGGAAGTTTCTGTCACACTGCCACCACCTGGGAGGGCTGAACCACACAGACACAGCCTTGCCAGCCTTTTTTGGGGAAGCAGAGGGACCTGTGGATGGAGATAGGATGGGGGGGGCTTTTCACCTCTAATTGCTCCAGTAAGAAGTTGGGAGCAGTTTCACTTGGATTTGCCAGAAAAGAACAGATTGATGAGCCAGCTGTTTATCCACCACATTCGTCTGGATTTTTGCCTAATTTGCACACCTTGTGCACTGGGGAGAAGGAGCATCTATACCCTCTGCTGAAACTTGGACATCTGGGGACTAGGCCACATAGCAGGTATCCTCAACCCTTGGAGCAAACAGGCTGAGGAACAGCCAAATAGGATATCTTCTTGACAAAGCCTGCTCACAAAGGTCTGCCCAGCTCCTCAAAATTCACACAGAATACCTCTACTAACACATCCCCAACTGGTCGGCCTCTAGCTCTCTACTCCTGCCCACTAGGCGTGGAGCCTTCAGCACCTTGGCCCCATCTTCCTCGTGTTGCTTGTTGATACTAATGCAATACCACAGACTGGGAAGTTATAAAGAAGTTGATTTTGGCTCTCAGCTCTGGTCCAAGGTCAAAGGGCCACACGTGGTGATAGCTATCTTAATGGCAGAGTCCCAAAACAGCGCAGAGCATCACATGGTTTAGACACAGAGAGACTGCACATATGTGTCTGCGTGTATGTTTATGTCTTGTCTGGTCCCTCTACCTCTTCTTACAAAGTCACCAGTATTTGGTGGGGTCCACACTGCTGACCTCGTCCATCCTAACAACCTTCCAAAGCTCCTACCTCTCAACATCATAGTCACTGTTTCCACCCTCTTATACCTCAGATAGGGAGTCCCAGGTGACTTTCACAGGAGGGGACAAACCACACAGTCGTCATCAGCAGCATCACGCAGGAGGCCGTCATCGTCACTCGGTAACAGTGCCCCAGTGACTCAAGGTGCTACAAGATAAGTAAGTACCACACTCACAATGGCCTGCACCTAACTTGCATCCCCTGTGCTCTGGAGAGTGGGGGGCACCTGCACCTTCTGCTGAGACTTGGACACCAAGGACCAGGACACGTGTGCTCCTCAGCCCTCCAGAGCTTCCTTCGAGGACAGAGACCACTGCCAGTCCAGCCAATGTCCCAAGCTACTCTGCTGGCCTGCAGATCTGGAGAAGTCAGGGCAGAATGAGGCTTAGTCTGCTACCCAAAGGACAAGAGGAGCTAGCCAAGGAAGGAGGCCTGGGGGAGCTCGCATAGATCCACAGCCTTGGGAAAAGAGTAGGCAAATTCCTCTTACCAAAGGGTTTGTAATTTCCCAGAGCTGAGCCCTCTGGAGTCTGGAGTGAGGGGGAGGGGGGCCTCAAAAGCCAGATGTAGGGAGCGGGGCACTGGTAGTTCACACCTGTAACCCTATATACTCAAGGGGCAGTCGGGCCCAACACACCTCCCAGGCCCACTCTGCCCACCACTGTCTCTGAGGGACTTCCCAAGTAGACTGTAGAGTCCCCTACAAGGGAAGGCTCAAGCAACACAGCACACAGTGGGCCCAAGGGACTTTGATCCAGAGATCTCACTGCCTCACAGCAAACCAGAGCTCCAAAGAGTTTTTTTGTTTGTTTGGTTTGGGAGGTACTGGAGTTTGAACTCGGGGCCTGAGGCTTTCTAGGCAGGTGCTCTACCACTTGAGCCATTCTGCCAGCCCATATTTTTGTGATGGCTTTTTAGAGATAGGGTCTCACAAACTATTTTGCCCAGGGCTGGCTTTGAACCACGATCCTCCTGATCTCTGTATGCTGAGTAGCTAGAATTACAGGCATGAGCCACCGGCGCCCACCCCCCTTCACAGAGTTCTGAGAGAGAGAGTAGGACATTGTCAATCTCCTCTGACACCAAAGGATGGGCCATGGCACCATTATCTAGTCTCTGCTTCCTGAATGCCTGCACGCCACCATGAGACACACAGGAAGTAGAGGCTATTATCTGGAGTTGGCAGGCCAGACAGTATCTTTAACAACTGAATGACAGATAGCAAGATAAGCCCACTGGACATCTCCTCCACACTCTGCACCTACTCCCTCTCTGCTTTTTCAAGAACAAGAGTACTCCAGAGAACTCTACCTTTCTCTCTCTCCAGATAAGATAACAGACTTTGTAGAGTGGAGCAGCCCTGAGCGGTCCTAAGCAGGAGGGATGCTCTTGTGTGTACCCTCCCATGGTGGGAGTTTCCTGTGCACAAGCAAATACATACACACACACACACTCTCAATGGGTGACAGATACGAGCATCCACTTCACAAGCACACAGTATGCACAACCCACTTCACACATGCATACATGCACACTCATATGCACATAAAACCATGCAAGCTACACACATGCATCCACTCACATACTCACATGCACAGAAACACACACTCTCAAGCACTCACCACCACATATGCACCCATACCACTCTGACATGCCCCTGAACCCCTTCTAACGTCTCACCTACCACCTATTAACCTATTAACCTCTGTTACACCTACAGTCACTCCACCAACCCTATTTTGTGATGGGTTTTTTGAGATAAGGTCTTGCAAACTAATTGCCCTGGCTGGCTTCAAAACTCAATCCTCCTGATCTCTGCCTCCTGAGTAGCTAGGATACAGGCATGAGCCACTGGCGCCCAGCTAGAGTCACATTTAGACTTAAAACAGGATCATTTCTATGAAAATGGAGTTCGTGGCCCCCTGCCCACTCTATATTCCTGGAGGAGCTCAGGGCCCCTGAGGCGGCCCAAGGGTGGGCACAGAAGGGCCACCATCTTCACTCACAGATCCTTGATGGAGGAGGATGCCACCCACTTGGGGACTGCAGTACCATATCACCCCCTTAGGTCTACTAACAGAAGGGTTGCTGTGTGGGGCTGTGTGGCCCTCCTAGGTGGGCTATGCACAGGAATGGCTGGTGACTGGCCACACTCTTAGGTTCTCATGCAGCTACCAGGTTATGCAGTGCAGTATTGTTTGCAAACACAGGCCAGAAAGTTTTGAGTCACCCAATGACACACCAGTTGGCTGGGAGTGGACTAGAGACCCTGCCCAGATGTAGACCTAACTGAACTCCTGTGACAGCACCAAGCCTCTGGCTTCTGGCTGGACTGAGCACTGGGGGTGCCCCAGAGGAGGTCACAAAGGACAATGAGTTGGCTCTCCCCACAAGGTCATCTCTACAGACCAACCACCTTTTCTGGAGGCCCCCGACTCCCCAACTCCTTTCTTTTTTCCCTCAGGCAGAGTAACTGGTTGGCTGTCCCTTTCTCCACCGCTTCCTATCCCACACCCCCTGCTCTCAACTCGATCCCCTCAAGGAGGTTTCTGCCATGCAGTGAGGGCCTGCTCACCTCCAGGGGGCTCCCTCAGAGTCAACCTCAGCAACAATGACCTCCTCTCAGTCACCTGCATCCTGGAGACCTGTCCTGGCCAAGAACACTGATGGACCACAAGAGGCTGCATCAAAGTGGGAGGAACAGGCAGCATGCAGTCTACACCTGCAGGCACAGGGTAGAAGGAGACAGCTGGGGGCTCAGGAAGAGAGGTAATCACCCTGCAGGCCTGGGGGCAGGAGCCACAGGAAAGTGGTGAGGGGAGGACAGGCAGCAACGGGTAAGGCACGTCAGTTCATTGAGCATATTCTTCAGGACTGAGTATGAAGGGATGTTCAGAGAAAAGCACAGCAGTCTTCCAGCCCAGCAGGCCTGGGCACTGTGAAAGGATCCCAAGAAACCCTTAATGGCCTCTAGTCACACCCTCAGACCATCTCCTCTCTACTCCTAATCAGCCAGATAAAGGGAGGAAGCCCACACCACGGAAGCCCACCAGCCAAGACGCCAATCACCAAGGAACTGCTGGGGATGGTAGCACACAGCTATAATTCCAGCACTCAGGAGGTTGAGGCAGGAGGACTGCAAATTCAAGGCCAGCCTGGGCTACACAGCAAGACCCACTCTCAAAAAATTAAAAAAAAAAAAAATTCCACAAAGGAAATCCTAAACCCCACACACAACTGGATGCCAAAATGCAGCCCTCACCACGCTCCACGAGCTTAGTCCGCACTACAACACACATCCGAAGTACACATTTCTCTTAAAAGAATAAAGTTGCATTAATTGCATGATGTTTAAGTACTAAGTAGCCAAGCTGGTGGCTTTGTTTAGGGACAGGAACAATGCCCTTATAAAACAGACTGATAGAGCCGGGTGGCTCACGCCTGTAATCCTAGCTACTCATGAGGCAGAGATCAGGAGGACCACAGTTCAAAGCCAACCCAGGCACGTAGTTTGGGGAGACCCTATCTCCAAAGAGCCCATCTCTTTTGAGGCTGATGGAGCTCAAGGTGTAGGCCTTGAGTTCAAGCCCCAGTACCACCAAAGAAAAAAAAAAAAAGGCCACACCACATTGAACCCTAATTCCAAGAAATACATCAGAAAGTCAAACTGAATAGGGTGAATTAGGGACCCTACAGAAGAGACCAGACAGCAAATCATATATTGTCGATGGCTGGGTGGCTGTCTCCTCTCCCACAGGAGTAGCCCAGCTCTTTCTGGGAAAAATCTGGTGAGTGCCTATCTGCGTAATTACGGTAGGTCATTGCCAAGTACAGATAGGGGGTAATCTTTGACTTAAAAGGGAAATTCCATGATTTAACTTGTGGAAACTCCCAACAGAGCATTTTCCTTTTGCTGTTTGTTCGTTTGGCTTCAGCTTCCCAGGCGCAGGATGGACTTACCTCGGCATGAAATTCCTTGACCCTCGATGACTTGTCTGCACACTCCGCAGGCTTTGGAATTTTTAAAAGCCTTTTTCTTAAAACTGTGCAGACTTGCTGTAAATTCTTCTGGCTGAAAAAGTAAAGGAAGAAACTGTCAGCACTTCAACTTCTTTCTTCCTTTCCCTCTCAGGTGATAATAAATCTGACAGAGTTTGCAGAGAGAACTTTGAGAGCTCAAGAAGCCATTCCAGCAATGTTCCCATTCCCACAATGAGCCACAGCCACCCCGTTGGCATTCTGGATCCCAGAGTCCTGGACTGCAGCTCACTCTCAACACGCACACCCCAAACTCAGCATGGCGTGGACTCCTGCTGCCTAGGTGATAAATGGTCCCTTCCAGACTTGTGGCTCGTACCATCTAGTTCAGTGACAAAGTCCTCACAAGTTTTCAGAATCCTAACACTTCTTCTGGAAAAAAGATTAGCAAACATATCTCAGTGGAGTTAAGAAGCAACTGACTTTAACCAGGTGCCAGTGGCTCACGCCTATAATCTTAGCTACTCAGGAGGCAGAGATCAGGAGGATTGTGGTTCAAAGCCAGCCTGGGCAAACAGTCCACAAGACACTATCTGAAAAAAAAAAAACATTCACAAAAAAGGACTGGTGGAGTGGCTCCAGGTATAGGCCAAGTTCAAACCAGTACCACAAACAAACAAACAAACAAAAAGAAGCAGACTGACTTGATTTTCCCCTCAAAGGTGTTCAAAGGTGCCACCAAACCACCATGAAGTTCTGAGCCTCTCCAGCCTGTCTTTTTTCCAGAAGGGGCAGTCATGAGACCAGCCTGGAATACACACTTCCTCCTTGAGTGAAGTTACACGTATTAGTACAGAAGTAAATTACTCATCCATCAAATTTATCAAGTTCATGTTTGTAGAGTCTAGGCACACAGCTGCACCTCATGACCTTAGAGGAATTCCATTTGCCCTAGAAACCAAACACCATCCTTATAGCTACTGGCTGATACACATTAGTGTATAATCAATGATATCCACGTGCCCATTAGTCAATACCCACCACGGAGGTCATTACTCACTCACAAGAATGATGAAAATTTACTAAGACGGAATAGGACCAAGAAAGTGGAAAAAATGATACAGCAAGTTTGGAAAACAATTTGACAATATCTTGTGATTTTTTTTTTTGGCAGTACTAGGAGTTGAACTCGGCCCTGTGATTGGTAGGCAGGTGCTCTAACATTTGAGCCACTCTGCCAGCCCAGTCTGACGTGATTTTAAACACATATCCATCCTATGATCCAGCAATTCCACTCCTACATACACTAAAAACAGAGAAATGGCCTTGTCCACAAAATATCTGGGCAAGAATGATCCTGACATCCTTATTTAAAAGTGCCCAGGCCAGGCATGGTGGCTCAGACAGGTGACCCTAGCTACTCTGGAAGTAGAGATCAGAAGGGTCAGAGTTCAAGGTCAAAAAGACACCATCTCAGCCAAGAGCTGAGCATGGTGGTTCACTGCTGTAATCCCAGCTACAGGGCAGGCAAAAATAGGAGTATTGTGGTCTAGGCCAACCAGGGCATAAAGCAAGACCCTACCTCAAAAATAACCAAAGCAAAAAGGGCTGGAGGAATGACTCAAGCGGTACAGCACCTGCCTAACAAGCACAAAGCCCTGAGTTCAAACCTGACACCACCAAAAAAAAAAAAAAGAATTCCAAGCAAGAAATAACCCAAAGGTCCATCAGAAGGTCCATCAGAAGGAGAAGGACTCTAAAACAGGACAGTATACTCGTATTTCAGAATACTGCTCAGAATTCACAGGCACAAACTATATTTGCACTTGGCAATGTGGATGGACATTCAAAAGGACAGTGCAGAACACAGAGAGACTCATGCCTGTGATCCCAGCTACTTGGAGGCTGAGAGTGGGAGGGCTGAGGTTCGAGGCCACCCAGGGGAGTAGTCCACAAGACCCCATCTCCAACATAACCAGAGCAAAATGGCCTGGAGGCGTGCCTGCTTTGGAAACATGAAGCACTGAGTTCAAACCCCAGTCCCACCAAAAAAAAAACAAAAGAAAAAGATGTAAAAGAAAGAAAGTTGAATATCTTTACATAGATATATATACAAAAGTGTATATATATATATATATATATATATATATATATACACCTTGCTTTACATCTTCTATATACAAGGTGTGTGTATATATATATATATATGACAATCCTGAAAAGATGTTGCAATATGCTTTTATTTCTTCTTTTTTTTTTTTGGCAGTACTGGGGTTTGAACTCAGGGTTTTTCAGGCTTGCTAGGCAGGCGCTCTACCACTTGAGCCACTCCTGCAGCCCTGGCAATCTGGTTTGAAAGATGAGATAAAACAATGTTAAAGTCTGTCATAGTTTAGGTATTTATTTATTGTGTATTTATTTACTAATCTACTGGATCTTCCATATGTGACTCACCCATGGGATGAGTACCAGGGACTGGATTTATCTTCACACTTGAACTAACCAAAAAACATGCACAAAATATACTGAAGAACATGGTCTTTAATACACTACAGCAGGAAATGAATGGCAGTGTTAGGACACCACTGTCAGCACTGCAACTTACCTGTGAAGGTGGCCCTGTGAGGTCACAATCCCCAGTGAGGGTGTCCTGTCTTAATTTGTGCGAGTGCACTCTACAGCACTGGCACGGTAATGAAACCGCCTGATGTTGCACGCCCTAGAATGTGCACTTGGCCTTCAGGACTATGTGAGGACCTCACAGAGAGAGGAAAAGATATGGCCAACCCCAGGGCTGCCCCCTCTACCTCTGCTACCCTAAGAGATTTTCAAGGCTGCAGAGAAAAAGGGGGCCAGGCTGAGCCCAGTGGGTTGAGGAAGGTGACAAGAGTTTGCTAGACAGGGCAGAACTCAAGGTTTTCGAGAAGTGCTTCTCTGGATAGTTCATCTGGGGTGGGGGGCTGTGAGAGAGAAGAAAGGAGAGAAACAGAGAAAGGGGGTAGAGAGAGGAGAGAAGAGAGAGTAGGGGTAGTCACTTCTCAAATGTTCACTTGGGGTGTGTGTGTGTGTGAAACAATGAGAGAGAGAACAAAGGACAGAGTCAAGGAAGGGGGAGAGAAAAGAGAAAGAAGAGAGTGCTACCTCTCAAATGTTCACCTGGATAGTGCAAAGCAAGTGTGTGAGCACATGTGTTGTGTGTGTAACAGAGAAAGAGGAAGAGAGTGAGAAAGAGACACAGAGAGAGACACAGAGAGCTACCTAAGGTTAGGGAAAGAACCACTAATGCTCACACAGAGCTGGGAACATCAAAGCCAGATCAGGAACCATCAAAATTCACAGTTCTATTTTACAGAAAACCTAAAAGGATCTTTCTTAATCTTGGGGACTAATTAGCTCTAGAGCAAACACTGTTCTGGCTCACACACCTGATCTGAAAAGCACTGCCCAAAGGACACTGCTGAACTGTTTCCAAGCAAAAGAACTGAATTCCAGAGCAAAGCTCAAGAGAATGCCAGCAGAACACAAAATTTCCCAGCAACAATGTGTGGTACCCAGTCAATAATTACCAGGTGCTCAAAGGGACTGAAAAGCATAACTATATAGAGAAAACTCAATTGAAACTAACCCAGAACTGACCGAGATGTTAGAATTAGCACAAGGATATCAAGAGCTATTCTAAGTGTGCTACATGTGTTCAAAAAGCAGAGACTTACAAAATATTAAAAGATCCAAACCAGACATCCACAAAAGAAAATATAAAAATCTGCGGTGAAAAAATACACTGGATCTTATTGTTGACCAATTAGACACTACAAAAAATAATTAAAAAAAAAAACTTGAAGTAAATTTGAAGACAATCAAAATAAACATTTCCCAAAATAACGCACAAAGAGATGAGATGACCCAAATAAAGAAACAAATGAGCATCAGAGCTAAGGGAGCATTTTAACAACATAATATCCATGGAACTAGGGTCCCCAAAAGAGAAGAAAGCAGAGAAGGAGGGCATGTTTGAAAAAACAATGGCCCAAACTTTTCCAAAATAGGAGCAAAACAGCCAAGAAAATCAAGAAATTCAGCAGTCACTAAGAACAAGATGTGAAACAAGTTGTGAAAATCAGACATAAAAGGGACCAATCATAGGACAGCTGAAGTGAAGACACATGGAGTGATTAAAAAAAAAAAAAAAAAAAAAAAAACCACCAAAGAAGCCAAGAGCTGATGGGTCACTCCTGTGATCCTATGCTACTTAAGAGGCAGAGATCAAGAAGATCATGATTGGAGACCAGTCTGAAAAGATAGTTTGCAAGACCCTATTTCAAAAATATCTTACACAAAAAAAAAAGGCTGGTGGAGTGGCTTGAGTGGTAGAGCACTTGCCTAGCAAGTGTAAGGCCCTGAGTTCAAACCCCAGCACCACATAGGAAAAAAAAAAAGGACACTGAAGAAAACCTGTCAATCCAGTACCCAGTCAAAAAATCTTCCAAAAATGAAAGTGAATCAGAAATTTATTAAGATATTTAAAAGCTACACCATCACTTGCTGACATATACAGGTACATGGTCTTTATGTAAAAGAATCAAGTACACCAGGAATGACCATTACCTAGGTAAATATATACATTTTCCTCTTTTTTTTCAGTACTGGGGTTTGAACTTGGGGCCTACACCTTAAGTCACTTCACCAGCTCTATTTTGTGATAGGTTTTTTCGATATAGGACCATGAGGACTATTTGCCTCAATCCTCTTGATCTCTGCCTCTGAGTAGCTAGGATTACAGGTGTGAGCCACCAGTGCCTGGCATAACACACTTAAAAGATTACCAAAAGATTATCATCTGTTTAAAAAAGTCACGTGAGGGCTGGGATGTAGCTCGGTGGTACAGCGCTTGCCTGGCATGCGTAAGGCCCTGGGTTCAATCCCAGCACCAAAAAAGAAAAGACAAAAAAAAAAACCTCTCCCCCTAAAAAAGTCATGTGACAATTAAGTTATGTAAAAGTAAAATTTATGGCATAGTACCAAAAAGCTTGGGAAAGAAAAAAAAGGAACATACTATATCGTGAGGGTCTTGTGTCATTTGTGAAAGTTAAACCC